TACGCAATTCTTCACATTGTAAATTGTGAAACGTACATAGTCAACTTTTCACTGTCATTTTCACATTTCCCATATATTATATTACTTTGTATATAGGGAAACATTCATTTTCAAGTCTCAGCTAGAAAAACAATATTCTTAATATGAGAAGAATTTTTTTTTTATTCGAGAATATTGTTTGGTTCTTAAAAAAATATTTTTTTATATTTTCTTTTAAAATTATTTTTTATTTTTTATATTCATTTTTTTCCTGAATATTTATTTTTTATTCTTAACAATTATATTATAATCTTAATTTTAATTAGTTATATTAAATTATTATTAATTATATTATTATGATTATTATAAATATAATGATTATATTATTAATTATTAATTAACTAGCAAATGTTGCGCGCGCCTGCTCGCGAAACGCAGTATTTAATTTAATTATTATTACGCAAATTTTTTTATTCTTAAGTATCATCTTCAATTTTTGAAATAATTGCAGATAAAATAATTTCAAAAATTTACTTATTAAATAATTAATTATTATTATTTATTGTTTCCAAAAATATTAATAAAATTCTTTGGAACAATTCAACTATTTTTGTAAATAATCAAATTCTTCGTAACAATTCAATTATTTTCGCATAAATAATAAAATAATTCTTCACAGGAATTCAATTTTTACTAAATTATTCGGAAGAATTTTAATTTTCTTCAAAACAATTCAATTATTTTTATAAATTAGAAGATTCTTCGGAAAAATTCAATTATTTTCATGAATAATAAAATTAATCGCAAGAATTCAATTATTTTCATGAATAATAAAATTCTTTGCAGAAATTTAATTATTGTCAATACAATTTCAATGAAATTCCTCAAAAGGAATTTCTAGTCTTCAAATTTATTTCAATAAATAAAGAAATAAATTAAAGAATTTCATTATTTTTACAAATTTTGACAAAATATGTCGAAAGAATTCAATTATATTAAAAAAATTTTTATACATTCCTCTAAAAGAATTGAATTATTTTCAATACAATTATTACTAAATTCTTGGGAAGAATTTTAATTTTCTTCAAAACAAATATTTTCAAAAATTTCAATAAAATTCTTGGCAAAAATTAAATTATTTTTAGAAATAATAAAATTTTTCAATGGAATTCAATTATTTTCATAAAATAATACAATTCTTCGCAGGAATTCAATTTTTACTAAATTCTTCGGAAGAATTTTAATTTTCTTCAAAACAATTCAATTATTATTTTTATGAATTATAAGATTTTTCGTAAAAATTCAATTATTTTCATGAATAATAAAATTCTTTGCAAGAAATTAATTATTGTCAATATAATTTTAGTTTTTTATTATTTTTATTCAAATTATTTTCATAAATATTAATTTTATTAATATTTAGTATTCTTAATATTTATTCAAGATATTTTTACAAATTATTAATTAATTAATTTATTATTATAATAAAAATAATTATTATCATGAACGAACGATAAATGAATGAATAATAAAATTATTATTAATTCATCCTTTTATTTTCAATAGTTAATAATTATTACTTGTTTATAAAAAAATTTTATAAATATTTATTTTTATATTCCTAGAAATATTTATTTTTCAGCTATTATTATAAAAAATATTTTTACAAGGGATAAATAAATAATGGAGGGATTTATGATAATGAAACAAATCGAAATAAATTTCTCGTGTGAAAGGTACAGATATTTTTTTTTTAGGGCACTAAGATATAGGTAGCGTATTTTAAATGAAATGATTCACCCAAAAAACCAGAATAAGAAAGATACCAAACCGGAAAGAGTTTCCGGTTTGGTAATTTCCGATTCAATGCTTTTTATGTCCAGTGTGAAATAAAACATGATTTAAACGATTATTCGTATATAAATTTAAGAATTTATTTTTTCCCATAATTGGAAATGTTTATAAGTTTATTTTATTATTATTAATATACAGTACTTATATGAGTATAATAATAATAACAATAATAAATAATATAAAAATGTTTATTTGTTTATCACAAAATTTTGATCTTTTAAATATTTGAGTAATTATAAACTTGACTAAAAAAATAGTTTTGAATTAAAATTTTTTGAAATAAAAAAATTATTTTGAATGAAAAAATTTAAAAAATAAAATAATTGTTTCGAATCAATTTTTTAGAATAAAAAATACTTCGTGGTGGTAAAAAAATTATTCTTGAAGAAAAAATTCTTTCTTTTTTAAAATTTCTTGGATCAAAAAGCACTGAATAAAAATTACACCTGCTTTTTTAATAATAGTAATAAAAAAAAGAATTTACACCAAAGATTAAATTTGGCTTGAGACTATTGAAATACTGTGTCACGATGTCAACGGGGCGATCCAAAAATAAAATAGAATTCGCGACAAAGTAAAGCTTTGGTTAAAAAAAGAAAAAAAAATTATTTATTTAATTAATTTAAAATTGAAATTTTTTTTTTAACATATAATTTTTTAAAAAAAAAATATATTTTCTTTAGCTCCTTTTGGAGTTAATATTGTTTCACTCGCCACATAATCTAGATTTACGTAATGAAAATAAGATTTTTTTTTTGAAAATTCCATTTTTGTTTATTTAAGTAGAAAATTGTTAACTTCCTTGAGAATTATATACGTTTGCTTTATTTCTTTTTTTATTTAAACTTCTAAGAATTTCAATTGCAGAAACTCTCTTAACCGTAACGAGATTATGTAAGATTTAATTTATAAGTTTTTGTCATTTAACTTTTACCGATGTTATTAATAATTTTTTTTTTTTACATTAATAATTTCAATTTGAATCGTTTTGTATTTTTTTGTAGTTAAACGATAATTTGCAAAAAAATATTTACGATTGCTTGAAGACGATTGGATTTTACTTTTTGTTTCACTTACTTAGCTAGTCAATTATTTTTTATTTTTAATAATTGTTTAATTATTTTCTTTTTTTATTTCTATAATTTTTAATTATTCCCTTTTTTTTGGTAGGTTTTTTTAATTTTTTTGTTATTATAGTTCTCATTATTTTTCCTTTGAACTAGAAATTTTTTTCCTTTTATTTGATAATTTATTTATTATTTTACTTTGGTAGTTTATTTTTTTATTTTATTCGGTATTTATTTTTTTATTTTATTTGGTATTTATTTTTTTATTTTATATGGTATTTATTTTTTTATTTTATTTGGTAATTTATTCACTGCATTTGATAATTTAATATTTATTTTATTTAGTAATTTATTTTTATTTTATTTGTTATTAATTTATTTTTTTGTTTCATTTCATATTTTATTTGCTATTTTTATTCATTTGGAAATTAATTTTTTATTTCATTCAGTAGTTTATTTTGTTTAATTATATTTTTCATTTTATTCAATAGTCCATTCATCGTTTTAATTCTTTAACGATTTATTTTTTACGGTTCATTGTTCAAGTATAATGAAGTTAAATTAATAGTTTAGAGAGATAATGGAACAATTATTGTCAAGAATGATTTCATAAATTATTATCAGTGAAATATTTTATATAAAATTATTTATTTATTTATTTGAAATTACTTTAAATTTTAACCATTAGTTGTTAATTAATAATTATTTAATATTAAATTAATTAATGCATACCATTAACAATTAATATTATTAATTAAATAATTAATTATTAACTAAAATTTATAAGTTATTAACTAATAGTAATTAATTATTAACGAATAGTTAATAATTATTAATTATTTTTAAGTTATTAACTAATAATTTATTGTTATTAATTAATAGTTATTAATTAATAGTTAATAATTATTAACCAATAGTTTTTTATTAATTATTATTTAACGTTATTAAAAATTAATTGTCAATAATTGATCGTTATTAATTAAGAACTAATAATTATTTATTATCATTTATCATTGAAATAATTACTAATTTTAATTTTACGCTTGACATATATTTAAAAGTAGGTTGACGATAAAAACGTTTAAACGGGAGTAAATATTAATACCGCTTAGTGACATAATATTAATTCCAAGAGAGACTTTTATTTTTAATATAAGCGCAAAAAAAATTTTTAATTAATCCATCCGCTAAATTGAATTTTTTTTTCTATTATTATTGTTATTATTGATTTACGGTAAATCAATTCAATGATAATGGAAGATGAAATAATTTTTCTATTTTTGCATAGTCATAAATAATTTTTGTTTAACATTACCTTGCAAATTTTTTTTTTCCTTTTTAAATAATAATATCATATTATTTTCCTCCTTATTTTTTTTTGTCTTAAATCCTTTAGTTTATAATGACTAATAGAAAGAGAGGTTTAAATGTGACTCATGATTCAATCACCTTTATTCGTCATTAATAAACATATGGAATTCTCTCATTGAATAATAACAGTAAATAATTTTTCAAAAGAATTTTTTTTTTTTTTTTTTTGTAATTTTTATGACTCATGAGTGCAGTGACAAAAATTCACTTAACGAAAATTTGAAATTATTGTGATGATTAGGGGTAATTAACTTTCAGGTGTAATTTAAAAGTCGTTATTGTACATTTAGGTTCTTTTTTTGTTTTGAAGAAAAAAAGCATTGAAACAATAAGACAATTTGTCGAGTGCAAATAATTTTGTGGTCATTACAAAAGAAATTGTTCTATTCATTCATTTTTTTGTTTTATTTTGAAAAAGTGTATTTTTCGTAGATAAATTTTTTAATTTTTTTTTTGTTTTTAATTTTTGAATATTAATTTTTAATTTTTGAATTTAATTTTTATTGTTTAATATGTGAAATTGGAAATTTACAAAATTGATAAATTAAATTAATTTTTATTATTGTAATAAAAAAAGAATATTAAATAATAATTTTCTTTTTAATTTTCCAAACAAATGATTAAAAAAATTATTGAAAACATTGGAATTTTGGCACACCTTTGAATAAATTTTTTTTTTTTTTTTTTTTTTTTTTTTTTAACTTTTGTGTGAAAAAAAATGAGACTTACTATTTCCAGTGCGATGGAGAACAATCATTCGACTGTGTCTAAGAGAATTTCTAGTGGGTGTGTGTCTTCCAGCTATTTGAGCTGCTGCCAAATTAACAGGAACTGTCGTTGACAAGCAATTTGCCATTGAGGGTGCTCTCCCTAATTCCTTCTCTTTTTCCGATCGGAAAATTTTGCCAATATTACCGGTCGATACTGCCCCTAAAAAAAAATTTCTCAATATGTTAATAAACTGATTGTGAGCAAAAAAAAACTTTTTTAGAAACACACAAAAAAAGGAATCATTTGTGAATCTAATTTTTAAATTTGAATTACAAATTTACTGGTTATTTTTAGTTTGAATAAGTATTATATAAATTTTAATTTTTGTATATAATTGTAGAAAAATAATTTAATTTACATGAATTAAAATTCATTTTGAAATGTCAATTAAATTAGAATTAAATTTAAATTAAACTCATATTTATAGAAATCAAATTGATTTCTTTAAATATGAGTTTAATTTAAATTTAATTCTAAATAGACTTTGAATTTATTTTTAAATGTTGAATTTATTTTTAAATGTTGAATTTATTTCTAAATATTGAATTTATTTCTAAATACAAAGTTAAATTTGAATAATTTAAAGAATCTATTTCGAAACTAATTTACAATTCGTTTCAATTAAGAATTTTTAAATTGGCCATTAATCTAGAATTATTTATTGCAATTCGTAACATTTGAAAAAAATTGCCACTTTTTTGGGTGAATTTCGTAAAAAAAAAATTTCTCTAGATTTTATCAATTTCTTCGAGTCCATTTGTCAATTTTCGAGCCTTGACTTTTGTCTTTGAATTGGCAATTTTTTTCATTTCTATTTTTTTCCTCTTTTCCTGTTTTTTTCATTTTTGTTTTTTTTTATTTTTGTTTTTTGTTTTTTATTTATTGTTTTTTTTGTTTAGCTTGTGTTAGACTTTGATTTGAATTACCTTTGACTTTTGATGTTTGAATTTTTGAAATATTGCCAGCGCTAATGGCGTTGCCGACACGGCTATTTCCATAGTCGTTATTATTGTTGTTGTTGTTGTTGCTATTGTTATTTTCCGGGACAGTCCCCGAGTCATCCCCGTCACGAACTTGACTTAAATTCCCGTCACTCATAGCGGAAGTCACGCAAGGTGCCATTGTCGGTGCATCCTGCAAAATGAGGCATTTTTCACGTTTTAACAACATACCTTTAAAATCACATTACATTGTTAATTATGCCACGAGACTTTATTTATTGTCATACAAAAATCCTCGTTTTACTGATAAAAGCGCACACACTGAAAATCACACTTTATCATTTATTACCCATTTTGTACCATTGGGAAAATGTTTTTAAAATTACTTTAAAATTACTCCAAAGTTTTTCAATTTTGAAACTTTTTTGAAAATTTCCTTAAGGGCATTTGAACCTTGATGACGTTACAGATTATGCAAAGCATGTGTGACGTCATCAAGGTTCAAATGCCCTTAATTATTTATTAACTTATTTTTAAATTAATTTTAATGCAATTTTTTAATCCAAACTTTTTATTCCTTTTGGAATTAAATTATTTTAGTTTCTTTTAGATTGGATTTCAAATTAATTAGTTTATTTAATTACTCAACTTGTGTATTTTTTATTTATTCAATTTTTAAACTAAATTTTCAATTAATGATTCAATTAATTTCTTAAGTTTTGAATCAAATTTTATAGTCGTTTTTGAATTAAATTTTGAATTCGTTTTTGAATTAAATTTTAAATTCGTTTTTGAATTAAATTTTGAATTGGTTTCTAATTTCAATTTTGAATTAATTTTGAAATTAACGTTTTAATTAATTTAATTAATTTAATTAGTCATTAAATTTGAAATTAATTAATCATTAAATTTGAAATTAATTCTCGAATTAAATTTGAAATTAATTTTTAAAATTGAAAATTTGTTTTTGAAATATTTTTTCGAACAATTACAATTTTTGATGTATATAGAAATTAAAAAAGAATTTGTTACCGCCGAACGAAATTTTTTTGGTGTATTTAAAATTGTCAATTTATTTATTAATTGCAAAATACTGAAAAAATTTTTGGAGTAAAAATATATTTTTTTATGAAAAATTTTTAATTTTAAAAAAATACCAAAAGAAATTTTTTTTTAATTAAAAATATAAAAAAATTACAGTGGAATGGATTATTTTTTCGTTTATTTATTTAAAAAAATAATTAATTTACTGTATATATAAATTGCAAAAAAAAAATAATAGCACAATTTTTACGAATTTATTTTTTATTATATAAATTTTTGAAACCGTTTCTGGAATTATGGGTCATTCTACTATATACTAAATGGACAGAATGCAATTTTTAACAAAGACAAATGCGACGTTCATGCGCCAATAGAAACGCACATTTATTATGTAATACACTTCGTGCACATAATCTAATACGAGAATGTTGTGGATACATATCTTGAGATTATGAGAAAGTTGAAGGCAGACAGGAATCGAATTTACAATCCCTGTGTATATACATATATATGTGCACCGGTATATTTTAAAGATACACATTCCAATTCCCATATCAATGAATCTCGAATGTAAATTGATTCTATATAATATATTACACTACGGTATTGATTTAAAATAGGAGAAAAAAAATTTTTTTTTTCAAAATTTATTTTTTTTGGAAAATTTATTTTTAATTATAAATTAATGCTGATGGTGTGAGGAAAAATTTTTTTTGAGAAATTATGCACTGTATGTGCGATAAATTAAGAATTTTTTTTTAAATATATGTATACAATTTTCTCGGAAAATTTGCAAATGTTTTTTTTTTTGCATCAACACGTAAACATTTGAGATATTTGGAATTTTTGTTTTTAATGATTAATGTTAATTTGTGCATATTCAAAAATTAATATTTCTTTTATTTATTTACTATATTTTTTGTTTTTCACAATTTTTTAATTGTAAATACTATTTTTTAGATTCAAACATTAATTTTGACTTTCCTTAATTATTAATTACTAATTATTAATTTTTACGTTAAAAAATTAATTTTTACACTTTTTTAATTGTAAATACTAATTTCTACATTTCAAAAATTAATCTTCATATTATTTTATTGTAACTAATAATTTTTACATTCAAAAATTAATTTTTCCCTTTTCTTAATTGTATAGCTATTAATTTTTACATTCAAAAATTAATTTTCACTTCTTTTAATTATTAAATATTAATTTTTACTTTCAAACATTAATTTTCACACTTCTTTCAATCGTAAATATTCATTTTCCCACTTTTTTAATTATTAAATATTAATTTACACGTTCAAAAATTAATCCTCATATTGTTTAATTGTAACTATTAATTTTTACACATTCAAATATTAATTTTCACACTTTGTTTAATATTGAAAATATTAATTTTCAAGTTTTTGAATTACAAAAATATTAATCTTTTAATTTAAAAATTTATTTTTACATGTTTTTAATTATTTATTATTATTATTGTTGTTGTTATTATTTTTATTTTATTATTTTTACCGTCAAAAATTAATTTCTAACATTTTTTTCAAATATTAATATCGTAAAAAATTAATTTTGACAATTTTTTTATTGTAAATATTAATTTTTCGATTCAAACATTAATATAGACATTTTTTAATAGTAAATTTGTAAATGTTAGTTTCTTCCATCATTGATTTACAGTAATTTTTATTAATAGTAATTTATTCACTTATAATATTTAACTTTTTTTTATTTATATTTTGTTTATTTGTATTGTTTTTTTATATTTTTTCACTGATACTAATTTTGAGCACTGTGAATTTTATTTCAATATTTATTTATTTTTTTCATATTATTTTTTTTTGTTATTAATTTTATGTATTTTTTGGCGAGCTTTTTTATTAATTAAGATTTTTGATAATTAATCGTTAATCATTATTTATCTCAAGGTATTAATGTCATTGATTTTTTTCTCATTTTTTACCGAAAAATTTAATATTTGACTAATGAAATTAATATGAAGGAAATGTGATAATTTATTCTCTTTCTCACCTTATAATTATCGTAGAAGCTAACGGGCCGGCTTCTTGCTGCACACTGTTCATCGTCTGCTTGTTGCTCATGCAAGATTGCATTCGCGGGTAATTCTTGCGCGCGCGCGTTTGACATCCTGCACCTGCGTCTTTCGACTTCAAAAAAAAAAAAAAAAAAAAAAATCCCTCTAAAATTTAAATTTTACCTGAAAAAAATATTTTTTCAAATTAGATTTATGATTTAGTTTATCAAAAAATATTTTTTATTATGAAATATTACATATTAATATTATACAATTATTTGTATTTATTTATTTAATTTTTCAATTTAGAATGTCATAATTTAATTATTATTAATAATAAATAAATATTAATAATAATTAAATAATAATAATTTAATAATTATTATCTTTTTGTTTTATTACTTTTTTACTAATAAAATTTTAATTATTATTATTATTAATTTATTTATTATTATTTATCATGTATTATAAAAATATTTACAAAACATTTCACAAAATGAAAATTTATTGCTCGCAGTTGAAAAATTATTTTACATACTTAATTATAATAATCATAGTAACGACGATATAATTATTCTTGGGTGAAATACAAAAAATTATTTATATTTTATAAACACTTTATTTAATAATTATTTTATTAAAAATGTATTTTGCTTTTCACATTTCAGAAATAAATGAAAGGTGAAATAAAAATACCTTTTTCATTAGTGATGGGAATAGAATTATTATAATAATGCGAACCGAAAAAGTGAAACTGTCCTTATCAATGCAAAACTTTCGAGGCACTGTGTTATATCATCAGCATCACAATGAAAATTGTTTGATCTACGATAAGAGGTATGAAAAAAACCATTTTTTGTTTCTATTAAAATTTTTTTTAATGCTGCAGAAAATAATGTTGCACTTTAATTTTTATTTTAAACGTCAGCAGCAAATATGCAGCAAAAAATGTCACTTTGTTTAAATTATAATTTAAAATCAAAATTAAATTAATAACTTTAATAATAAATTAATAACTTCAATAATAAATAATAAATAAATAAATAAATAGAAATTCAAATGATGATTAAATTAATAATTACTGTAATTATAAATTAAATGATAATTAAATTTATAATTACAGTAATTTAAAATTTTAAATGACAGTTAAATTAGTAATTATAGCAATTCATATAATGCAAAAATTAAAATAATAAAAAATAACCAAATGATAAATAAAATTATAAAATAAATAATTAAATTTATAATTATATTAATTCGAACGATAATTAAATTAATAATTATAGTAATTCATGGACATTACCGAACGAAATAAAAGTATATTTTATTTCAGATAATTTTTGACTTATTTTTTTCGTTTTTATAAATACCGGTTTTTTTCATCAATAATTATAATAATTGAGATTGAAATATATACATCAAATAAAAATAAGTGGATGAAAAAAAAAGAAAATTGCAAATTTAAATTTCACGTTTTTGTGAATTTTTTCTGTTTGCTTTTAAGAGATTAAATAAGGGGATATATTGGACCACATACATATATATACACTTGAGATTAATGTGACTTCACTTTCAATTTTTTTTGCTTTACGTCAAGTTCACTGTCTCACGTGGTTGTCACGTGTGCTATAAGGTAATTTAGTAATTCTCATGAGGAAAAGAAAATCAGGGGAAAAAATCAAGACCCTTTTCGTAAAAAAAAGGAAAAACAGATTTTTTTTACAAATAATAGGTATAATACACAATTCAATGAGAAATTTTCCAAATAAGGAAACAAAATTTGTAAATTTTTATTTTAGAGGTAAAATATTTTTTTTGTTCTTTATTGTTAGTTAGTATTCCTTTTATAAATCGGGATTTTTTTAAAAGTATTTTTAGTTAGTATTCTTTGATAATTTATTTTTTTTAGTATTTTTAGTTTGTATTTTTTTAATTATTTCTTTTCGGTATTCTTTTACTAATTCGGTTTTTTAGTATATTTAGATTTTTAATTAGTATTCATTTAGCAATTCGTTTAATTAGTATTTTTATTATAGTATTATTTTGAACAAAATTTTAATACAATTTTACGAAAGAATTCAATTTTTTTCTTAATTCGTTATAAAATTAAAACAAAATTCGATTATTTTCTAAAATTGTAATTATTCCTTCGAAACAATTCTATTATTTTTTTTAATTCCTTGTAAAAATACAATCATTCTTAATACAATTTTAATAAAATTTCATGAAGGAATTCAATTTTAAAAATTTTTTAATAGAATTTTTTAAAAAATTCAGTTATTTTCTAAAATTTTAATAAATCCTTCGAAACAATTCAATTATTTTATTTCAATTCCTTGCAAAAATTCAATTATTTTTAATACAATTTTAGTAAAATTTCATGAAGCAATTCAATTTTTTAAATTTTTAATAGAATTTTTAAAAAAATTCAATTATTTTCTAAAATTTTAATAAATCCTTCGAAACAATTCAATTATTTTATTTCAATTCCTTCCAAAAATTCAATTATTCTTAATACAATTTTAATAAAATTTTATAAAGGAATTCAATTTTTAAAAAGTTTTTAATAAAATTTTTTTAAAAAATTCAATTATTTTTTAAAATTTTAATAAATCCTTAGAAACAATTCAAGTATTTTTTTCAATTCCTTGCAAAAATTCAATCATTTTTAATACAATTTTAATAAAATTTAAAGAAGGAATTCAATTGTTAAAAAGTTTTTAATAAAATTTTTTAAAAAATCCAATTATTTTTTAAAATTGTAATAAATCCTTAGAAACAATTCAAGTATTTTTTTCAATTCCTTGCAAAAATGCAATCATTCTTAATACAATTTTAAGAAAATTTCATAAAGGAATTCAATTTTTAATAATATTTTTCGAAAAATCCAATTATTTTCTAAAATTTTAATATATACTTCTAAACAATTCAAGTATGTTTTTTCAATTTCTTGCAAAAATTCAATGGTTTTTAATACAATTTTAAAAAAATTTCATGAAGGAATTCAATTTTTAAACAGTTTTTAATAAAATTTTTTAAAAAATTCAATTATTTTTGAAAATTGTAAGAAATTCTTCGAAACAATTCAAGTATGTTTTTTCAATTCCTTCCAAAAATTCAATCATTCTTAATACAATTTTAATAAAATTTCACGAAGGAATACAATTTTTAAAAAAAGTTTAATAATATTTTTAAAAAAATTCAATTATTTTCTAAAATAATTGAATTGGATTTTTAATATTTTTAGTTAATGTTTTTTCTTATTTAGTATTTTCTTATGATTCTCTAATTCTTTGAACTAATAAAATTTGTAATCATTTTAAAATAATTATAAATAATTATAAATAATTATAAAAAATATTTGTAAACTGTATTTAGAAAATTTATTAATTATTTATTAACATAAATTTGCACTGGGTTGATCAATGAAATAAAATTAATTTATATTAACATTATAACTAAATTTTTTTTGTGTCAAGAAAATATTCTAAAATGTTTTTAATACTTTTAATAATAAAATTATTAAATTAGTTATATTTTTAGTTGTGTGGATTTTTTCGTCAATTCAATTCCGCCAGAGGCAACTTCATTATAGAGAATTGCGTAAAACTTACAATAGATTTGCGAAAGTAAAGCCTCCCTTATAATTTGAATGAAAGAATTTTTTTTCAGAATTGTATTGTACAAAAGTTTCACTTATTCATAGAGAAGTGGAAAAGTGACATCTTACTTCGTTAAAAGTATAAAATTTTATCAATGCATTTCTTTTTTATACGAAAAGAAAAATATTCAGAAATTAATATTTATTTTTTTTTATTTATTTTACATTTTATTTTTATTTTATTTAATTTAAAATTTTTTTTTATTTTATTTAACTTTTACATTTTATTTTATTTAGTATATTTACATTTGACTATTATTATATGTTATAATGTTGATTAAAAAGTATTATTAAATAAAAATAAATTATTTAATTAATAATTATGCATTTAATTAAAAAAAAATATAAACAAATAACAAACACGCGCCAATTTTTCTTTTATGAGTCAAAAACAATTTCTAGGAAAAGTGTGAGAAAAAAAAAACAAAGTCTGGAATATGAATGACATTCTCTATATATCTATATATATGCAAAACAACTTCTTTTGATCGCATTTAACGTATAGAAGAAATCGAGTACACGCGCGTCAATGAGGTGTCGAGATTTTACTGCACAAGGTGGGGGTGGAAAAAACATAAACCAACGACAATTGTCTTTTTATTTATTACTTTTCTTGTAAATACATATACGTACATATATAGATGCTTATAAATATTTTGCAAAAATCGAAAAGACGTCAAAAATTCTGTTTATTTTTCTTTTTTTCATGAGTCATCAAAAATTTACACAATTAAAAATAATTTTATGCAATTCATAGAAAATTTTTATTATTCAAAGAAAAAGAAATTTATATTCACTTTTGTTTAGAGAAGAAAATAAAAAGGAAAATGAGAATCGTAAATTTTAATTCACTTTCCATTTATGTATTTTATTGTATACGAGAATATGTTAGTATGTAAAAAGATTTTTTTTTTTATTGCCTTCTTCCCATGAGAAACTATTATCATTTTTCCATAGATTCTTAGAGTAGTTTTATTTCTATGTAAAAAGGGAAATAAAAAAAGAAACGAAACTAACTATGCGGTATTATTCATAGAAATTTTATTTTTGAAACTATTTAGCTACTATTTTAATTTTTATAAATAATTTACAAATTATACTTATTTCGTTAAAGCAGCGAGATTTTAAATTTATTTAGTGAAGAAATTAATTCTAAGACTCTAGAAAAATTGGACACGATAAAAATATTTAGAATCGCAAATTAAAAATTGAAATTTTACTAACAGTAATACTTTACTAATTCTACTAAATCTACTAAATATTACAGTAAAATTTTTACTATTACTATTTTTTATTTATTAATAATATTAACAATTATAGTAGTGAATAAAAATAATAGTAGTAGTAACAATAAAAATATTAATAAAAATTTAATAATAATTAATAATTATTTAAATTTCGGCCTATTGGCCCAGAAGTGGCACCTTTTGGTTTACGTTAATAATTAATGAGAATAATTTACTTTAGAAAATATTTTGTTTTCGTTAATTTAGTGAATAGGAAAATTTCTTGAAGAAGTTCA